GAATTCACTCCCTTTTTCAACTGCAGTTTACGTAACCATGTGGTGTGTGCTTGAACCCAGTGTCATCTCAATGTTTTTCCAACAGAGTCGAGGACGTGAAGGTGCACACTAGGTCTCCATCTCAGCCTCTTAGGTAATGTTTTATTTCAAGCTTGCATTTTGTTTTCTTTAAAGGCCAGAGGTCATTAACATACAAAAGCCTTAAAAGTCTGATGCAACCACCTGCTTAGGAGAGAAAATGGTTATGTGGCTTGTCTTTGGTGTATGAAAGCAGTTTAAAATCATCATAACTGCTGACTATAAATGATTTGGGAAAGCTGTTGGCAGTACACTTGCTGTTTTACCTCTTTATTAAAACATTCTGTACTTTAGTCTATGCCTTTTAAAGACAAATTGTACCCTGGCATATCTTAATTTCCAGTACTCTGTGCATAACACTAATAAAACAAGATGTTCAAGTACTGTTCGATGAGAACAAGTTGCCGCATCATTATGTGCACGGTGATGTCGTCAATAATTTGAACAGGGCCCGTTTTAGCACGTTTAACCCAGATGTAAATGAAACACTCCTTTGAGAAGAGTACGCGGCCCTTAATTAATATTGTTCTGAAGAGCTGAAGAGGCCACTCGGATGCAACCGGCCCTCCTCCTCCCCCTCTTCCTGTCCGCACGAGAGTGAAGGACGAGCTCTTGGCAGATTTGTTTGTTTTTGCGTCTGACTGAAGAGAAGAGAGTAGCAATTGATTAGATAATAATATCATTTTATACATGGATGCTGTGTAAATACATAATATAGAGTGTTTAAATGTATGAATTGGTGATTGAAAGTAATAACTGTTAATCATATTTCTAAGCTTTTTGGATGCATTAGAGCACAGGTGTCAAACTCAGTTCCAAAAGGGCCGCAGCTCTGCACAGTTGAGTTCCAACCCTAATTAAACGCACCTGATCAAACTAATTGAGTCCTTCAGGCTTGTTTGAAACCTACAGGTAAGTGTGTTGAAGCAGGGTTGGAACTAAACTGTTCAGGGCTTCGGCCCTCCAGGAATTGAGTTTGACACCCCTGCATTAGTGTATTATAATGTAATAAAGGGCTGCAGGATGTTGGAGAAATATGACATTGCGATATTTTTTCTATTACTGCCATGCATATTGAGATATGAATATCATTTCACCAGATCACTTGAATTAGCTATATTAAGAAAATTAATTGAGATTAACTGGAGTTATATGCAAATGTATAACATGTAATACATTACAAGCATATAAAAAACGGTAGAGCAAAAATCTAAGTTATTGTGGAGACGCACATTGCGATATCGATGCTCAAATTATATATTGTTTAGTCCTATTGCAATACATGTTGAAATGCAGTCATTAGTAATATAATTTAATGATGAAAATTTAAATACGGATTATCAGACTTTAAATTAATAGTCTGAATAGATGTGTAGAGATGAATACTACAATGTGTATGTATATGTTTGTGTGTGTATACCATAGACTGTAAAAGATATGGACGTAGTATTCATGACGTCACCCATAGGTTTCTGAAGAGTGCAGATGAAGCTGCAAGTGGGCGTGACCAAATCATTGCCATTTTGTTTTACGTGTCATTGCACCGACCGGGAGTAACCAAAAAAGGGCAAAGTAGCGGAGCTGCAGATACCTGCTAGCATTTTTCGTAGAAAGGCTTTTCTTTGGGAGATGCACTTAATATTTTGATTACCTGCGACTCATTTGTGGTCTGATCACATGTGCTTGGTTGTATACTATATCAATAAAGTGTTTAGACTTTTAAAAACGCTGTTGTAACACATTGAGCCACTAAGCATTATTCTTATGACGTTTTTCTACAGGAGAAAAATGTGAATTACCATCAAACACTTAAAATATAGTCTGTGTTAGTGAATGCAAGGCTATTTATGAAATCCAGGCATAACACTGTATGACAGTATTTCAGATGACTTTTATAGCCTACAGTTAATCAATCTGTTAGATTCTGGAGTGCTTTACAGGTCTAAAGAAATTGATAAATGATCTTATATAAATGTATCAATACATTTATAGATATTGTATATAATTTCACTCACCTGGGAAATAGAGCAAATTGAATGGTTTGTGAGGACAATAAAGTGCCCATAGCATGCCATATTATCTGATAATTGTAAGAAATAATTTGAAAAGGCTCTGACTCTGTAAAGCCACAAAGCAACACAAAAATACGATGAATATGCCGATTTCAGCAGCTAATCAGCCGGAATCAGCTGAGGTGATGAGACAGAGAGCAGCGAGACCTAGCTGTCACTCAATGGCCCACTCTATGCTGACTATATATAACTTGATAAAAACGAAACGGATAAGTTATAAAAATTTTTTTTTAAAAATCTTAAACAAACAAACAAAAAAATCTTAAAAAAAACAACAACAAAAAAACACTCACAGTTGTCATTAGGGGTAATATTAGCTATATACATCAAAATAGTGTTTTTGTACCAGGCTGTAAACACTGCTGTAAAATTGGCCATTTTAACATTGGGCTCAATAGAAATGTGCTTCATTATGGAGACAGGCGTAGTTGAATTTCGATGAATTACAGTTTCCGTTACTTTCATATTAGCTTCACGAGGGAGAGCAGGATGTTGCCCCTTTCTGTATACGTATATGTGTACACTCGCGCACACAAGTAAATAAAGGAACCTCCCATTAATAGTAATTTAATTTGGACAGATTAAAATAAGCAAACACATTGTGTGCATTACAAATGATTTATTTGACAACCACTATACCAAAATATGTTTTATGAATAATATATGTAAATAATATATCAAATGTGTTGTATCGTACTGTAACGTACTTGATATAATTCTACTTTTACTGATTTAAAATGAATAGATAATTAGCATTAGCATTAGGTTTAGTACACTATGTAAAAATGCTATTGGCATGAAAACCTGAGCTCCTGAACTATTAGCAGATAAAATATTAATGTATTTTATGTAACCAACTGATTAATACTTTAAAAGCCACTGCTAGCTGTTTATTTGAAAACTTCCATATTTGACTTTTTTTTTCATTGTTATTTCGTTGAGATGAACCTGAGTCAGAGTTTTTGGAGTGGGTGAAAGAGCAGGAGGAACTGTGTGGGAGACGCTGATTAGTGGCAGGATTACCAACTGTGCACTTCAAAATCAAAACTGAAAGAAAAAAAGAGTGGAAAATGGGCTCTTTTCCCACACCGATAGTAAAGAGGAAAGCATTAGATGAGTAAAGTTCCTGAAAGTTAAAATGACTTATTAAGAGCTTTAAGTTTAAAGGTTTGATATAAGAGAACTCAAAAACGTCACTAGCATAATATTGCTAGAACTAATTAGCATTGCGTGTTATTAGAAATAAGCAGTTTTCTAGCATCTTTATTATTGTTACTATGCTTTATGGACTTTGCTACCATATTTCTGTCACGTTGCTATCATGATAGTGTGAATTAGCATTTTACTTGCTTAATTGAACATTGTGAAGATGTATTAGCATTTTGGGTAATAAGCCTTTAGCCTTAAGCCTTTACAATGCTGTGTTAATGTTCACACCTTCAGTGAAAGTCTAATCTATTGCTTAGATTTGGTCATGTTTGAAAACCGAAAGTGGGATTAGTTTTAGAAAGCAAAGCATAAAGTCAGATCATCTCGAAGATCTGGCCTGAGTTTGTGGCCAATACTGTTCATAAATGTATATCAAGTTGAAGACTAAAACATTAGCCCTCCCGTGAAATTTGAATACTTTTTCAGATATTTCCCAAGGGCTGTTTAACAGATTTCTTAAAAAAAAAAAAAAATAATAATAATAATAATAATATATATATATATATATATATATATATATATAACCTATTTAAATATCTAATTTCTTTTGTCTTTGCCATGATGACAGTACATGATATTTTACTAGTTATACTACATCTTGACTACTCAAGAAACAAACAATATATGAAGGAGAAGTATGCGCTCAGGAATTTGTTTTGGTCAAATGTAATTGGAAGATGATTTGAACCTGTGATTCATCTGAGCATGTTTTCTCGACATGCTTGGACCTTTGTTTTTGCATTTCCTTTTTTCTTAATCCCTTTTTCTTCTCCTGTAAAAGCCTATTTAAATCTCCACATCTCTTTTTGTGTCTAGCAGAAGTGATATCCCGATTTAACCTTCTTCGAAATCGTTTTATTTCTGGCAGACGTGTTTGGCAAGAACAAGAAGCCCTGTTAAAAATGTGCTCAGGAATGTGAAGTGAAAGCTGGGGATTTTTCTTGAAGCCATTCTTTTGGGGAATCTGATGATATCTGGGCTATTAGGACAAGATCTTGTTTATTCAGTGCAATGTCTAGAACCTACTTTAGTTTTCTTTTTACTTCAAATCCATTCAATTCCTTGAAATACTGACTGAGAGTTTTCTAACAAATAGATCAGATATCATACTAGGCTTGTGTGCAGGTTTTAATAATAATAATAATAATAATAATAATAATAATAATAATAATAGTAATAATAAACTTTTTTGTATAGCACTTTTCCAACATACATGCAACTCAAAGTGCCTCACAAACAACAACAAAAGCATTAAAATGGACCACAAAAACTTATCACATATACTGAAATAAAAGCATTCATGTACACAAAATGTAAGTATATATCCTCATGATCACACACACAATAGTCCTTACATATGCAGGCACACACCATACATTACATACATAAACCTACAACAAAATAGATAAAATGCGTACACCTTACAAACTTGTTTAATCATACGCAATTTTAAAAAGATGTGTCTTAACACGCTTTTTAAAAAGATGAATAATCGGGGATTCTTTCACTTCAAGGGGGAGACAATTCCAAATTTTTGGAGCATAATGGCTAAAAGAAGTGCCGCCAGATCGCATCAGGTTTACAGGATAAAATTCTAAAAGTCCAGCACTAGAAGAGCGTAGCAAACGGTTTGGATTATATTTTGTTAAACAGTCGGAAATGTAGGAAGGTGTCATATTGTGTAGTGCTTTATAAACTAATAAAAGAATCTTAAAATCTATCCTTTGTTGCACAGGCAACCAGTGTAATTCTATTAATACTGGTGTAATGTGCTCTCGTTTCTTTAATTTCATTAAAACTCTGGCTGCTGCATTTTGTATCAATTGCAACTTCATTGTAGAACCTTTAGGTAGACCAGTATAGATAGCATTGCAATAATCAAGCCGAGAGAAAATAAAAGCATGAATTAATTTCTTGGCATTATCAAAAGATAGGAAAGAACGAATTTTGGCAACATTTTATTAAATGATTAAAACATGTTTTTGTAACTTGATTAATATGAGATTTAAAATTAAGATCACAATCGAAAATAACACCCAGTTTCTTCAATTCTTTTTTTGATTGTAAACCTAAAGAACACAGTTCTGCTTCAATCCTCTCTCGCTCAGGTTTTTTGCCCACAATAAGAATATCTGTTTTATCTTTATTCAACTTTAAAAAATTTGCAGTCATCCATTGCACAATATTGGACATGCAGTTGGACAAATTTTCCAATGCAGCAGTGTCTCTTGGCTCAACAGAAATATATAATTGAATGTCATCATAAAGATGATAATTCATGCCATATTTCTGAATTATACTACCTAAAGGAAGTATATATAATAAAAATAGACTTGGGCCTAGAATAGATCCCTGAGGAACACCATATAATATATTGTGTTCTTGCGATGTATATTCATCTATATTTACTAAGAATGTCCTTTCTGTGTCTTATTTAAATAAATGAGACTTTTTATTATTATTATAACTGTTATGTTTATCAAATGTATTTGTAATGTTTTTTTTTGTCATTTATTTCTTATCTACTGTATTATTTCATTTTCGATGGTTTTAATATATTACATATTTGAAGTGCTATTATTATTTGATTCTCATTTGATTATATATTGATATATTGTTATATAATATGATATGAAATCATATATTATTTTTATCTGATGTCAGCTGATCTCTTGTTTGTTTGTGTGTGTTTTTACAGTCGAATGAAACCGCCTGCCTCCAGCCAGGGCTCCATCTCCCCCCTCAAATCCTCCAAAGTCCCAGCGTCGTCCTCCTCCTCTTCCTCCTCCTCCTCAGTCTCTGCCTCTGCCAAGCGAATCGGCCGCTCTTCATCTTCATCCACCAACCTGAAGAGGTGAGCCTGACCTCTGTCCTCCTCAGCTCTCCTCCAGTCTTCTCCACATTTCCACTCCTCTTCTCTCACTCATCCACATCTTACACTTGCTCTTTGTTTCCAACTCTTTTTGTCTGACTGATTCACTCCTCGTCTTTTCTTTTCTTTCTTTCTTCCCTTTGCTCTCAGTTCGCTGGTGGCCTTCTTTCCTCTGTGTGATTATCCTATGATCTGAGAGCCGGAGTCCAGCTGGTTGCTCTCTGCTGCTGTTGGTGCTCTGCTCGTTCGCTGTTGTTTATGTAATCGGATATCTTTTGCCTACTACTGTATCACTCTCTCCAAACCCGTTGTTGGATGAAGTGCATGCATACTCGCTACTTTCTAGTACTCTGCAGAAAGCATTTTGGATAGCACTTTTCCACCTCTCTTCAGGCTAGGGCTGGGCGATGGGTAGGCGCAGTTCACCCAAAAATGTAGGTTTACATCGTGTCCTAACAACACACCACAACAGTCCAGTGATGAGCAATTTGGCTGTCTGCACCAAACGTGACATGACACAAACAATTAAATACCATTATTAATAGGCTTACTGAGTGTCTGGTGGTTTGCACCGAATAACAATTCTGCCTTTCGTTTGTCATAAATCTTCCGTAAAATGGTATTTAATCTCACATTGGTAGCATTTAACTCTGAATAAAGCACATAATCTGTACCTGAGGTGATTATTGTCACAGTAGTTTATGCTGTTGTTCAGCCACGACGTTGCTGAAATGGAAAGCATTTCTAAAATAGAAATTTTGCGCGACGACAACGAAGATGGTTAGGATAAAACTCCTTTTAACGTGATAAAAAGATACGTCGCAATGTCAAGTTGTGTGTTGTTAGGACACAGTGTTTCTCGTCATTTTCTTTTTGTTTTGTTATTGAACGGGATGCTATTTTTAAAAATGGTCATCGTTGATTTTCATTCAAAAACGTATACTATGGAAGGCAATAGCTACGGGTTATCAACATTTTTCTAAATATCTACTTAAATCTAAGTAAATGGTGGTGGAAATTTCAGTTTCGGGCGAATCATGCCATTAACCTATTCCAATATAAAGATATTAATGCTTTACATTGGTGAAAATGCACAATTTGATAATGTACATTGTTTGTATGTAATTTGCTTTGCCATAAACAACCGATTTAATCTGTGAAGGTAAAACAATAAGTGTTGTATAAGTAATTTTACATAAGCAGAAATTAAGTTTTTCCAAATATCAGAACATGAGGACAATCACAAAAGTGGTATTGATTTTTATTTTTTCATGCAACAAACCAGATATAAATATGTATTTAGTTAGATTTTAAACACAATAATATGTCTATTCCACAAATTTAGATAGTTATGAAAAACATTTAGCTTTGTTATTTACTTGACATTTAAGCTGGATTGTACATGTTTTCAAATTAACTTATTTTTATTTAAAATTAACTATTATACTAATTATATTAACTAATGTTGAGAGGAAATTTTCAGCTTTCATATAGATGATATTTTCAACATTTTTGTGTATTTAATTTTTTTAACACTTAACAATTGGAAGGAAAGCATCGACATAAAGTACAGTTCAATTTTTCTTTCATCAGCATAAATGGCAAAACTACATACTAATAAATTGAATCAATTGAGTCACAGCTACAGAACTGAATGTTTAAATCAAACATTTTTATTTACAAAACTGAACTATCAATTCAAATATGAACATACTTGGCATGGCGACCGTGTCAATACAAATTCCATTAAAATCAGTATTTACAAATAAGTAAAAAATAATATTGACGCTGTAAATCATTATTTGCAATTCTAAAACATGATCAGAACAACAAATGTATTAAATGTTTAAATAATATTTACTCAAAAAAATCACTTGTTACTTGTTCAAAGAACTTTTTTAAAATTAGTTGAAACAACACAATTACATTATTTTGGATGGAACAACTTAATTGTTTTATGATCAATATTCTAATCTTTTAAATTAGAAGAAAACAACTATGTTAACTTAATCAAATGGTGTTGGGACAACATGAAGGATTTGTGTTGAACCCAGCATTCTTTACAGTGTTGAAGTCGCCCAGCCCGTTTCAGACTTTTTTCTTTCTTCAGCAAAGTTTGTTTTCCCCACAATGCATGCTCTCCTCGTCCTTCATCCTAGACACAGCTAGGAGTATATTGTTGTCCTCCTTTCCCACACCCTTCATGTATATCCTCCTCCTCCCGTCCTCCAGCACCAGGTTAGCCAGTTCTCTGGGCAACCTATATGAACCAAACACTGAAAGCATCAGTTCCGGAAAGCCGCCTTCCCCGTCCTCGTTCACGCCCCATCCCGTCCGCACCACCTACAATTACCACTATGAAGTCAACAACAACAACAATCAGTATAGCACCACCAGCTCCCCGAGCAAAAGCCTGGGCTACAACCTGAACCACAGCGGCCCGAGTGGAGCGTCTGCCAATGCCCGGCTGTCGGCCGGTGAACAGGGGCACCAGCGGAACCCTCCGGCGGGGCTGAGCGGCCTGTCTACCCGACACCTCAGCCGATCCATTCCCGTAAGTCCTTTGTCCTCCCAGAAACACAATCAGCAGCAGCATTACAACATAACATGTTCAGCGGTGACTGTTGCTTCCTGAATAAATCGATTAGAAAATTATTAGATGTTAGGAGTCGAGCAGTGTTGGTTTCTATAATTAAAATAGGAAAAATTTTGATAAATTGGAAATTCTGATTGAGGAGTCGTTTTAAATTAAATGAATCATTATTGTGTTAATAAATTAACATAATATTAGTAATTATAGCTACGTAAAAATTAATTTACTAATTAATTGGTTTATTTTTAAACTTATTCATTAATAATTAAGGCAGGAGATTGATCAATTAAATTGTTTCAATTTTAATTTATTGGTCCTATATATTGTGTAATGTTTATTTCAAATTTAATGAATAAATCATTTTTTTTTATAATAAATTAACATAGTTGTTTAATTTGACTGGTCAATTCATTTTTGAACTTATTAAACTATTCGTTAATAACTATTATAGGTAACTGTGGATAAATTTAATTTTGTTTTTAATTTATTGGCTATATATAATGTGTAATGGTTTATTCCAAATTTAACAAATCAATTTTTTGTAATTTAGCATAATATAGCTGTTTAACTTGACTGGTCAATTTGTTTTCACATTTATTAGTTACTAATTAATATAGGATAATGTGATATGTTGAATTATTTAATAATCATAATAATACATTTTATTTGTAATGCATTTTTTTTTTACTTAAAGCACTACAGAACAACAGAACCACAATAAAAAACACAAAATATTCAAATTTTAACTTATTGGTCATATATAATGTGTAATGAGTTTAATTAAAATTGAATAGATCAATATAATAGTTTACAATAATTAATAGTTATAGTTATTAATTTTGTTAATAGTTAATAAAATTAATAGTTTGACATTAATATTATAGTTACATTTTAAGGTTGTACTAGTCAATTAATTTTTTCAACGTATTATTATTAAGATGTGAAAATGTGTTAAGTTGAATTATATATTTTTTAATTTATTGGTCATATATTTTATGTAAGGAGTTAATTCAATTTTAATGTATCATAAAAAAAAGTTTTTTTTTAGTTGCATTTAAAATTTGACTAGTCAAGTTATTTTTTTTACTTTTTCATTAATGTATGAGAATGTGTTAAGTTTTTAATTTAGGTCACATATAATGAGTCACATATAATGAGTCAATTAATTTGTTTACTTTTTAATTGTTATTATAGATTTAATTTATATTTCGTTTTTAATATATTGGTCAAATAAGAGTCAATTGATTTGTTTACTTAATTGTTATTATATTATATATATATATATATATATATATATATATATATATATATATATATATATTTCATTTTTTAATATATCGGTCATATACATATGACTCAATTTGTTTACTTTTAAATTGTTATTAATAAAAGACTTAAATTATATTTAATTTTTTCATTTATTGGACATATTATACACACACACACACACACACACATATATATATATATATATATATATATATATATATATATATATATATATATATATATATATAAATTTGATCAGTCAATCAATTCGGTTTTAAACTTATTAATGTTCTACATTTTTTCTAATTAAATGAAACCAATTTTTTACTTAATGCTGTAAAACTTAATTTGAAAACTTATTACACATCAGGAAAACATTGAAAGGAAAATCTGGAAATAAATATTAAGAAATTGAAATTTAACAAAACAAAACTAGTTATTAGTTAATATAATGGATATATTTAAACAAATAGAATATATTTTCTAGCAGTCATGTCAAAATTAAGAAATTTAATAATTATCAATTAAAATTAAAACACTATCACAAAATATTTACTAAAATTCTCAAAATTAGTTACTTGTTTTATTAATACGTTATTTTAAGCAAGATACATTAAATAGATTTGTTATAATATTGAATCAATTGATATCGATACCGAAAATAAAACATAACAAATAAAAGTTGTTAATAGAATTGATCATATATATATATATATATATATATATATATATATATTATTATTATTATTTTTTTTTTTTTGTTATTTGTTTTTTTGTTATTTGTTATAGTATAAACTAATAGTAAATTGGGATTTGAAATTGACAAACGATAAAAAATGTATAATTAACTTAAGATAATAGGCAGTCATTATTAAGGAGTTTACCTGAAGCAACAGTTACCGTGCTACTTTTTCTTTCTCTTGAAATCTTTTTTCTAAATCCTCTGCCTCAAATCTAACACCTGATCTACAGCAGTCTATTTATATTTAACAGATGCTCATAAACACTTACCAAGGCATGTTGCACGTAGTCTATTTTTAACAATTACACTCTTAACATGCATGCCATGTGTGTACTTCCACAGCTGACGCGTGTAGCTTTCTGTTCCTCTGTCCCTAGT